GCAACATTATGTGAAAAAATGAAAAAAAATTGCAGAATAGAGCTGCTAGAGTGATTACGAAATCCAACTACGATGTCAGCTCTAGCATTCTCTTAGAGAAACTGCATTGGGACAATCTTTCCTTACGTAGGAAAAAGCACAAGTCTATATTAATGTTTAAAACTATCAATAAGCTAACGCCAGAGTATTTACAAAACATGTTTACATTTCGCAGCACAGATTATAACTTAAGAAATGCAGAAATGAAGCTAAATTTACCAAAACCACGTACGGACTTTATGAAGCGTAGTTTCTGCTACAGTGGAGCAAGTTTATGGAATGCGCTTCCTCAAACTGCACGTACGTCCAAATCATTGAGGCATTTCAAAAATGAAATTAATCAATTTTTGACATTATAATGGGATCCCCACACGGCAATCTTGGAAAACAGTGCATTTTAGTTAGGAAATTAGTGTGTATATAGTGATGTGTGAAATTTATTAATAGTTTTTGTATTTTATTCTACACTGAAGATTTTACCGTGTTTAAATAAATGTTCAATGTTCAATGTTCAATGTTCAATGTGAGCGACTGGGAAATCCTGTATTCTAGATTGCGTCCGTATAAAATGGCGGACGCTATATCCAAGCAAGGAGCGAAAATTAGGGCAGAAACTTTCGTGGGGGTTTAAGGCGTTTCGTGAAGCGTTTTTCAGTGGTGCGTAAGGTTGTCTCTCCAGTTGCAGAATGTGTGGGAAATGTGTTATTTTTTTAAGAAAATGGATTTCCGCAACATTTTCGTGTAGCTCATATGAAAATTATCACGCCGCAATTGCCCAAACCTAACCCATCATATGACGTACAATTGCCATTTCCGCCAAAAATTAAAACCAGTGTTGAAAATAGAGTGTTGAAAATGAAACGTAATGAAACAGAGGCTGTCAAGTCCGTTCTGCTCATGCGCGTGCTTTGTTTACGTTTTTGTATTAAAACAATAGATAATTTAATTAAAATTCCGATCTGTGGGCCCACAAGTTAGCTCGTTACGCATTCAGAATATATCACGAAGGAAAAATTGAACTACTAAAGCAAAAATTTAGCCCCAAAACAACAAATTTTATATGGAAAATGCTAAGATTCCAAGAAGCACTTCTTACAAAGGTCTGGCCAAAATTTGACTGCAATTTGAACAAATTTTGTCCATACCTTCGTGTTCAACATTTTCAATCTTAAATTTGTCGTTTTGGAGCTAAATGTGTACAAATTTCAAAAGAGATTGTTTCTCCTATAGAGCTGCTAAGTCCTGGAACGAACTTCCAAGTGAAACTATTGAAAATTATAACAATCTTTCAATTTTGTCGTTTAAACGGCAATTACTTAATTCATCCGTATCAATTCATTGTAAATAGTTATATTCTTTTTGTCCTTTTTATATTATTGTTGTAAACACACGGCCCTTTGAAAACCAGCGCTGTAAATATTATCTGCTGAACAGACTACCGTGTTTAAATAATTTTATTAAAGATTAAAGATTAAAGATTGATTCCGTATCATCGTACACGTACGTTGGTCGCGCATTCACTATACCCTCGATTTCAACCACGAGTGTTTGGAGCTCGTCGTAAGAAAGATTTGTTCTGCCTATCACCTTCCGTAGTGGACGCTTTACACTTCAAATAATCGCCCTAACCCCCACCCCACCAAGGAGCCTTTTCTACGATAAACTGCCACGTAATTTGATTGTTCGTAAGATAGCGCAATACTTCGTCGGCACGACACAATTTTCGAATCTCTGCTGATGCTGCACGAAATGTTTTCGCATTATCTGATATGAGAGTGGGTAAACCTCTTCGACTTAATGCGTATCTTCTAAATGCTTTGAGAAAGGTTGGTACACTTAATGATGGAGTAAGTTCAAGATGCACTTTGTCTGGGTAACAGCTGCGGTAGCGGGAGGGTCTGAACCTTCGGGACCTTTATTAGAATTTCGGTTCTCGGGGACTTTCTTGTCATCACATTGTTGACGGTTGTTGCTAGGGTTATTACAAATAGATTGGTGGTGTCTTCCAGAGCAATGTCGACACTTCTTTATGGTATCACACGTATTTGCGTGGTGCCCTATCTTTGGACAAACAAAGCAACGATTGGAATCCCGCAAAAGTTTCAATCGACTATCTGTGTCTGTTATCTTTTCGCAGGATGCAGAATGTAATTCATGGCAAAATGCACATCTAACCTTAAAACTACCTTCACCGTCCTTGCCATTTTTTGTCACGACAAAGGAACCCACAGTTGGAAGTGAGCCCTGTTTTTTGTTTGGGGCTTCTCACTTGCATTCGAGCGAGCCATCTCGCTCATCTCTCGTGCCTCGACCTCTGACTTTATAGTTTTGAGCAAATCATCGATTTTCCAAACATTATCTGTTGCTTTACGTGCTACAAGCAACCTAATTTCGCTTGGCAATTTGGACATGATTGTCGAAAACTGTCATTATATATTATGTTTTGTTACGCGTGGGACGCGCGAGTCCGAACTGAACGCTGTCGGAAAGTTCCGGAATATACCGGTAGTTGTTATTGTGATTGTGAAACAATTTTGAGACAGCGTGTTGTGAGAGATTTATAGTGCGTATAAACGTTATTAAAACTAAAGAAAACTAAAACGTATTGTGTTGAGAACTATCAGGGGGCAATTCTCGACATGATTACAGGGATCACTAAGCTACCACATTGGTGAGCGGCAATTCCCAGTGATGCCAGTCCATGGACATGCACACTTATTTTGTCAAAAATAAATCTTAACTGTCCGGTTCGGCCTTCAGAACATGCTGGGATTTGCAAGATTTGGTCCATGTGTGCAACTATAATTTGCTGTGTTTTGCCAAATCTTTCTTGTAAGATTTCGATTGCTGCATCATAATTGTACGTTGGCAGATGTAAGTGTAAAGGTCTGTTTAAACGGATGCAACATTGTCCAACATTGTTGGATGCAACAATTAGCCAACAACTTTTAGCAGTTCAATTAGTACAAAATTCTGTTCGAAAATAATTATGCAAAGAACAAAATACTGTCCAATCAACACACGGGTCACATACCGAATATTAATTAAATACGCATAGGTTTTCAATGTTATTGTTTTCATGTTTCAAGATGGCCGCTCTTGCTTGCTGCTGTTAAATTATTGTATAGACTTTTACCTCAATCGTATAGTATGAATAAAGTTGTTTTTATAACTATTTCAGGTAAATTAAAAATATATCAGGTACGTTTGTGGGAGAGCGTTGCGACGTTTCATGTCAAATTTAAAATTCTGATCACGAATTATTTTTACGTTATGACGAAGTTAGAGCTATACAAAAGTTATTCATGTCAAAATGAAATCTCTTCAAGAAGTCACATAAACAATGAGAAAGAGAAAATGTATTGCCATCCTTGTTCTGCAAGGATTACTGGAAATATACAAGAATCCAAGAGGAAAGACCAGGTCATGGATAAGGAAAAGAGAAAGCCGTGGATTTTACACGAACATCGTGAGGGAAATGATGGTTGAAGACACAGCAGCGTATCGTGAGATGATGAGAATGTCCTACGACGATTTTAAAGTATTGCTACGAGTTGTAGAGCCTCACATAAGTCCGCATCAGGTTCAAGGTGGCCAAAAAGTGATACCAGCCCTGGAAAGGTTAACTTTGACTATAAGATTTTTAGCTACAGGTGAGACCTATCGATCCCTGTGCTTTCAATTTCGTATATCGGTGGCTGCGATATCGTATATTGTCGAAGAGGTTTGTGAAGTCATTGTGAAACATATTGGACCGCTGTATCTAAAAGTCCCATCCACCACTGAAGAATGGCTTGAGATAGCAGCAAAATTCGAAGAAAGATGGAACTATCCTAACTGTGTTGGAGCCATAGATGGTAAACATATAGTCATGCAGCCACCTGCCAATGCTGGATCATTTTTCTATAACTACAAGCACACCCACTCGATTGTACTAATGGCTGTTGCTGGTCCAGACTATGAATGCATCTATGCAGACGTTGGTACCAATGGGAAAGTAGCTGATGGTGGTGCTTGGATCAAGTGTAGCCTGTCAAAGTCAATTGATGATGGAACTATCTCTCTTCCTTCAGCTAGGTGCTTACCGTTTGGTGTTACAAAGATTCCCTACTTATTTGTGGCTGATGATGCATTTGCAATGAAACCGAATGTGATGAAGCCCTAACAGCAGGGTCTCACCGAAGACAAGAGAATCTCTAATTACAGACACAGTCGAGCAAGACGGATATCGGAGAATTTGTTTGGGATCATTGCAAACAGATGGTGTGTAATCAGTGGTATTAGACACCTTAAGATTGACGTATTTTTCGCAAACGTCTAACCGCTAGAAACCACGTGACCAGGAGCTTGCGTCACATTTGCCGTAAATCGGGCATTTGTAGCAGTTATACTTGATGCGCTAGCACCTTGCACAAAAAGGTTGAAATTAATATATGTTTTTGACATTTAGGCGCGATCAGGCCGGCGTAAAAAAATACCTGTGGTTCCGGTTCCCGACCGACCCTATTTTTTTCTGCCAATCCTATTATTTTTTCAACGCGGTTGACAGTGCGACCCTATTTTCTCCAGGTGGTTGCGGGCTGCTCATACAGCGTGCCAAAATGGCGTCTGTTGTCACACTAATTATTGAACCAAATTGCCTAAATTCGTCCATGGGAAATACACATCTCTAGTTAATATTGATGTCGGGACTCTACTGCAAATCGCCCAACAAAAAAACGGCAAAACCATGAAAAAAATATTTAAAAAAAAATTTATTTCCGACCTACCGACCCTAATTTTTTCATGATATGAAACCGGAACCACAGGTATTTTTTTACGCCTCACTATTATCAGAAACATCAACAACTGAACAAAGGCGTCAATGCGATTATACTTCATGTAATATTAATTTCAATATTTTAAAAACTATTTTATAAGTATAATATTTAATACTAATTGTATAGATATGTGTCCCCAAATAGCTGCGTATACTTTAACGCGTGACACATTAATTTAATTAATAATTTTTTATTTTCTTTATTCATTGATACAAATCATTTTCCCCACACTTCGAAACTCTCCACAGTAGTTTGAAAGTTTTTTCACGCATCGGCTTCAACGAAAACAGAAAACGAGTCACAGGAGTTAGTATACTGAAACGTACTTCTGGTTCATTGGGTACAGCTAGGTATAATCCCAAATCTACTGGTTATATTCCTATGCCTACACTTTCTCTACTGTCTAATGTTTTAAAGTCATTCTTTAGTTGTAGTCCAATACTAGTAAATCCAACCTCAATCCAAACGGCTATTCAGTAATCGAGGAGAGTAACACCAACTTTCCTATCGCCCTCAAAACTTAGTCTCGAATGCTGAACTATCATTTGATCTAAAAAGAGTATATCGCCGTTCTGCCAGTGGAATCCAACAGCACTTTCCCAAATACAACGTCGGTGATTGTCAACTTCATATTCTGCAAATTCTTCCCCATCCCCGTAAGTGCTATGAACTGGATACTCTTTGTAGGATAACTTCAGGTCTTCATAGCATGGCATGTCATCATAGTAACTTCCATGAAGAGCTGATAGCTGATTAAACCACAGTTGTTCCCCGCTTATGGCGTGTGCTCTAGTGGGCGATAAATTTTTCCAGTAAAACACAGTGTTCTCTTCCCAGGAATAATGATAATTTTCATTTTTTAAAAAATCGTTAACTTTATCCTTATCTTCGGTTATAAAACGCATTTGCCAGCTTTGATAACGATTTTTATGACTATCCTTACTGTGTAGACAGTTCCAATAACGAATTTCTCTATCTTCACATTTCTGGACAAATGCTGGGTCTAACTTTACATGGAAGTCACGATTATCACAAATTGCTGTCTCGCCACCCCATTGGGACTTCTTCAAACAACTTATAATGAATATCTGAAATGAAATAATTGAAATGAATTTGTACAAGTTCTAAAAATATTTCCTATACATATATACCCTGCAGAGAACTGTTATTGCATAGCTCCGTGTATATTTCCCTTTGATTCATATTTGTATGGGTAATAGTATACCCTGGAGCCAGAGGGTATTTATTTTCGCCTGTTTTGAATAACCCTCTGGTGAAATTGGCGGGGTTTTTCGGGTTCATTCCACACATAACTTTCAAAATTGGAAGGAAAGAGTTGTTGGCTGCTGACTCTAATAGGTTCGATAGACTACGTGTTCTGATTGGATATTGTAAACATCATAGCCTGTTCGCAGGCGTTTCGTGTTTTGATTGAATTGAAACATTTGAATTTTGAAATGTCTATATTATTAAATAAACGAACAAAAGTTGAAAGAAGCAGTTTTATAGGCTGCATTAATAGATAGATTGATAAATTTCCTGAATTAAAAGTTTAACGGAGCATCAATACCGCGGCTTGTCCAATTTGATTCACATTAAAGATGTATTTGCATCTTGCTATCGGTTATGGGAAGAGTTTAATATTCCAAAGTTCTAGCACCGAGAGTAGCACGACGACTTGGCAAAAGCCACAACTTTCTGGAGAAACCCATCTTAATAGTCATTTGCAAATTGAACTCTTTCATTGACTCTCACGTCCGTGAACTAAGAAAGCGTGGATGCCGTGCCGACTTCACTGTCAAACGAAGAGGACGAGAAAGCAATACTAGATGGAGAGTTTACATTCGTATTTTGTAATCCGAGTCTATTATTCAAAATGCGAAATGGAGAGAAATGGTTTCATTTGAAATCTACAAGACAAATTTGCTTGCTTTTGTTACGAAACATTATCACTCATACATAGAATTTTAGGTAAAAATAAAATAACACAAAGATGTTTGCTTGAGAGCAGGTGAAAGGTTCGTACAAGCAAATACTATCCTAAGCATAATGAGAAGAGATAATGGATATTTTGCCACAAATCAAGTAAGGTAAATATTTCAGTTCTTCGGAAAACAATCATTATTTCTTCCATTAGGCTGTGAAAGTTTGTTAAAATAGATGCAGCTGTGTATGTGGAAATGTCATGTTGTGATTGGCCTGTTTCCTATAGTTTGTCTTGTGAGCAGATTGTTTAAAGAGAGCAGCTGCCTGAGGTCCCATGAACATTGACCTTTCACGTGGACAGACTCAAGCGTAAAATATGAGTCATCCCAAGCTGGATAACACTCGGTCATGCAATTTAAATATTACGTCATCAAAATCTTAGTTCGATAAATTTGTGAGTAAATTTAGTTTAGTACACAGAGTAAAACTCACATAGGTATAGTTTGAAGATTTTACCATGATATTTTGATAAGTATTTTAAGTTGTGAACATGTTTTAATGATGACCGACTCGACCTATACGACAACGCCTTATGTAAACAGAACGTGAGAGCTGGAACGACCTAGCAACGCCAGCCCACGCTCCTGCAGCTCAATGTTGATTGGTTGGATACAAATCATCCCACATGCTAGATCACATGTACAAGATCCCCTCGACCGTTAGTATAAAAGGGCGTGCACAATCCAAATTCGTCAGTGGACTCAACGAAGTAAAAATTATGTATGAAAAGTTGTAGAAAGCTCAAAACGAAACAAGACAAAACGACAAAGAATACGAACTAAAAACAACGAGGAAAGGCTGAAGAAAGAAGATAACCTCGAAAAAGAACAATTTTATTACAATGTGACAATAAATAGAGACAATGTAACGATAACTTAACAACTGGTGAAGGATCGGCGTTTTCGTGAACGGTTCTTGGCACTCATCCACGGATCTTTGCAGATCGAGGTAACCTTCCAGCCGAGTGTTTCAATCCAAGTGGTACGATGTCTCTCGTCACGGAGGATACAGTTTGGAAACCCCCGTGGTTGAAAGAACGAACATGACGCAAAATTGCTCACTTTGAATTCCTGATAACGCCGGACTTGAACACGGACTTGAATTTGAACACCCTTAAGTTTGGTATATATATTTTTATTAATTGTATTATTTATTACTTGTTTCTCTACTAAGATTTCATGCGATTTGTGTATTTTTTTCCTTATTTTTAGCCAGACTCGTGAGAATATATATGTCAACCCAAAATATCTTAGGTACACTCAACACGTATACATGTTGCCGTAGGTTAGAGCATGCATGAAATGTTCAACTTGTTCGTTTCAACTTGTTCGTATTCTTTGTCGTTTTGGCTTGTTTCGTTTTGAGCTTTCTACAACTTTTCATACATAATTTTTACTTCGTTGAGTCCACTGACGAATTTGGATTGTGCACGCCCTTTTATACTAACGGTCGAGGGGATCTTGTACATGTGATCTAGCATGTAGGATGATTTGTATCCAACCAATCAACGTTGAGCTGCAGGAGCGTGGGTTGGCGTTGCTAGCTCGTTCCAGCTCTCACGTTCTGTTTACTTAATGCGTTGTCGTACAGGTCGAGTCGGTTTGCTGTTCAATCGATCATCATTAAAACATGTTCACAACTTAAAATACTTATCAAAAAATCATAGTAAAATCTTCAAACTATACCTATGTGAGTTTTACTCTGTGTACTGAACTAAATTTGCTCACAATTTTATCGAACTAAGATTTTGATGACGTAATATTTAAATTGCATGACCGAGTGTTATCCAGCTTGGGATGACTCATATTTTACGCTTGAGTCTGTCCACGTGAAAGGTCAATGTTCATGAGACCTCAGGCAGCTGCTCTCTTTAAACAATCTGCCCACAAGACAAACTATAGGAAACAGGCCAATCACAATATGACATTTCCACATACACAGCTGCAGCTATTTTAACAAACTGTCACAGCCTAATGGAAGAAATAATGAATGTTTTCCGAAGAACTGAAATATTTACCTTACTTGATTTGTGGCAAAATATCCATTATCTCTTCTCATTATGCTTAGGATAGTATTGGCTTGTACGAACCTTTCACCTGCTCTCAAGCAAACATCTTTGTGTTATTTTATTTTTACCTAAAATTCTATGTATGAGTGATAATGTTTCGTAACACTTTTGTATTAACAGACAAAGTTCACGTCGGCCCAAAGAGGTGTGTTTAATAAATTTAAATACAGATTTTTTTTAATGTATATTGCAGGATTAAATTGAATGTATACTGCAAGATTAAAGTGAATGAATATAAATATATATTTATATTAAATTGAATAGATGTGATGTTTTAAATTGAATGAAATTCAGGAGAATGAATATTGCTACAAATGGGCAGGCATGCACTGGACAGTATACATGCGATATTTTTAAATAAAACCCTGTCTAGACGGCCTGGCGTCAAGGATAATGATTGGATAATATTTTTAGAATATGACGCATTAAGCCATAATACATTTTTTGCATTCTTTATCCACAGGAGGCCAAGGCTCGATTTGCCCGCGCCCGCCTGTGCCTTCCTTATAACGAGCGAAGGAAGGAAACATTGAGAACAAAATAGCCCAGACTTGGCATATGTCACACGAAACTATCCTCGATTTTTCGCCTTTAATGCATTTCTTTCACGATTAATCGACATCCCCTGCAAGAATGATACCGTATAACTTTCAAAACAACGATGCTTTAATCAAAGAGCTTAAATTCGCTCTGAAATCCGTGAGGGAATAACAAAATTCGGCCAAAATATATCCGCGTGCCGGGTTTGCTGGACAAAAACGGAAGTCGTTGAACAACTCAAAATACACTCAACCCTGATTGGACAACGAGAATCAACAAACTTTTCAAATTTTCAGTAGTCAGTAATGTAATATAAATTTGAATCAAAACAATTAACAAATTTGTCGGGGGAAAACCAGTGCAAATCTAATTATTTAAATTTAAGAAGTTTAGTCAGCAAATACGGATAGTAATTTACCCTATTTGACAAGATGTTTCAGCGTAAAATTATAGCTATATTTGCAGTTATATTTACAGTAACACACATAATCGACTTGTAGTAGACTTTGTAACGTTTGTGAATTGTTTTGATTCAAATAATCAAATTATTACAGGACTGTTCCAAGTACTGTCTCCCCTCCCAGTGGAGAAAAATTTGAAATCTTTGTTGACATTCGTCGTCCAATCAGGGTTGAGTGTATTTTGAGTTGTTCAACGACTTCCGCTTTTTGTCCAGCAAACCCGGCACGCGGATATATTTTGGCCGAATTTTGTTATTCCCTCATGGATTTCAGAGCGAATTTAAGCTCTTTGATTAAAGCATCGTTGTTTTGAGAGTTATATGGTATCATTCTTGCAGGGGATGTCGATTAATCGTGAAAGAAATGCATTAAAGGCGAAAAGTCGAGGATAGTTTCGTGTGACATATGCCAAGTCTGGGCTATTTTGTTCTCAATGTCTCCGACCTTCCCTCGTTATAAGGAAGGCACAGGCGGGCATGGGCAAATCGAGCCTGGGCCTCTTGTGCTTTATCTGAACCAGGAATCGCTAACAAATTCACCAGAGGTTTTTCCTTTCTCTTCGCGCGTTTCTCGCATTTCGCGTTCGCCAAACCTAAAAAAACCTCTGACCCAGAGGTTTTTGGGTAGTAATAGTATGGTTTCGAGTGCAATTTGGAAAAAAACATGCACGAGTGAGTTTTTCAAAGACTATAAAAAAACTCACGAGTGTATTTTGGACCAGGAACTGTTCCCCAATCGCGCTGCAAATCTTGTTGTTGTTGTTGTTGTTGTTGTTGTTGTTGTTGTTGTTGTTGTTGTTGTTGTTGTTGTTGTTGTTGTTGTTGTTGTTGTTGTTGTTGTTGTTGTTATTGTTGTTGTTATAGGGGGGGGCGACGTTGAAATACAGGGTAAGTAAAAAAAAACTAACACCTTTGTTATTCAAATTAGCCGCGAAGGTATCAGTTTTTTTTTACTCACCCTGTATATCATGCAGCAAAACGCAAACGATCAGAAAGACATTGTCTTCTCTATTGTTGTGAACACAATCACAATAGTCTAAAGCTTCTCAAGAATGTGAACGACTAATTATAACGATTAATTATAAGCGTTAAGTTTGACTAAATTTAACACGCTGGCTTAGTTTCTCAAAGCGCAGAGGAGTAATAATACTCCTATCTGGTTATCATATAATATTCATTGTTATAGAAAATCGCGAACCGTAAAAACAAAGACATGTCAACTTGTTTTTAGCTCAAGCGTGCAGTTATGAAGCCATGACTTAAGGCTTTTTTCCACTCATCGCAAAAACCAACTCGCAAGCTTGCTGCGAGTACTTTCGTCCAATCACAATGCTCGAAAGTTTATTTTAATTAGATACAATCACTAGCAGCGAGCTTGCGAGTTGGTTTTGCGATGAGTGGAAAAGAGCCTGAAGGCCCATTTCCACTCAAGAAAAATTCCCATGGACAGAAAATTTTCCGAAAATATCATTGTTAAAAGTTGAAAAATTTGTGTTGGCCAATCAGATTTTACAAAATTTTCTTTCCGCGGAAAATTTTCCTGAGTGGAAATGGGCCTTTAAGGCCTGTTTTATACGTCGAATTTTGGTCGCGTCGAATGCAATTAAGACAATAGATGAGATGATAAACCTCATTAAGATTCATTATCTATTGTTTGAGTTGCATTTGACGCGACCGAAATTCGACGAATATATAAAACGGGCCTAAAGGCCCTGTCACACTATTGCGTATCGTACTAGCGTATGAAAAATATCACTCAAACGTCGGTACACGCTGACATACGCTAGGGGTACGTTAGGCATAAGTTGTATACGTTTCAAGCACGGTCGCGTACGGTGGCATACGTTGGCATACGGTGGCATACGGCGAGGCAGAAAATTTTTTTTAAGCATGTTCAATTTTGTGCGTATCGAACGTATGCTTTATACGATAAGCATACTCTAGGCACACGCTGAATACGCTAGAGGTACGCCAGATGTACAGTACTCATACGCTGGCATTTCAAAGGATTTTTGTGCTGCAATATTTTGCATTGATGTACGGCAAAAGTTAAATTTAGGCATGGCATGTTTATTCTAAATATTATGGGGCTTCGGTGTAGTATGGGGCGTCGGTGACGAAGTGGTTAGTGCATAATTCTAAATATTATGGGGCTTAGGTATGCACTTGCCTTTCACCTCTAAGGTCGCAGGTTCAAATTTCAGTGAAAACTTCTCAATGTGACTCGAACCCAGTCCTCATGAAAGAGTAAAATGAATAAAAAAGCCAACGCTCTGCCGAATGTCGTGGGTTTTCTCCGGGTACTCCGGTTTCTAGTTCCCGCGGGGAAAGTTGACAGGGTGGGTTAAACACATAGGTCAGGGGGCAGATAATTGATGAGGTATGGACTACTAGCGGCTACTTAAAGCGTCATTTGTAAGCTCACAGTCTACCTCGGTCTGCTTCCGGTTCTGCCTATCTATCTATCCATTCACAATGTAACCAGTCACTGAAAAACCTGATCGGGAGTGTGCTGTGCAATATCTGTATCTATCTGTGGGAAATTTAACTTATCTATCGAGTTCGACTGCGAGGAAATCTGCGCATTTAGTTATCTATGCTTTGTCCAGATTTACACCTCATTTACACACGGCACTAGACACATTTTTGCCCGGATAAAGTATCTTCAATACATGACCAAATTAAAGCAAAACATTTAACGAACTCAGTATACGCTGCCAACACTTCGAGAGTCATTAGTTTCACAAGTGTCTACAATCTTGGCAAAAAGTTAATGAAACACCTGTAAAAAATCAATAAAACAGACAGAATCCCCCCCCCCCCCAGGGCACAATGTTCGACATAGAGTCTAAAAAATTGTGTACAATAGTTCGTCGATGGCAAAGAGCGCTATGTTTAGGTTTCTTGCTCATCTTAACCAACACTGGAAGGGGGGAAGAATAAATTAAATTGTTAATCAAACCTGATGTTTCATTAGTTTTTGACAGGATTGTCTGATTTGGCAAATTTACGAAATGCCTTAATACTGAATATGAATTTCCAGTTTATATATTTACATGTTTAGTAAAGCAATAATGTTTTAACATCACTTCTGATACCCACAGAACGTGCATGTAGCCGGGGTACGAGAAAGAATATTTTAAGGAGCAATCAGTATTGTTGTTATATATATGGTTTAAAACTGAAAACTCATGTTACTATTATTTTAGAATGAACAACGGTTGACAGTTTGAGAGTAATAAAAAAATAATATTTAACATAATTTTTTTATCAATGCTGTCAACCGTCAACCGTTGCAAAATTTATATTAAAGTCTTATGATCATCTTGTCAACCGTTAGTGTCAACCGTGTGAAAATCGTTGTTTTCCATTATTTCTATAAATACCATTATTTATGAATATATTTCTAACTAGAAACATGTTTACCAACACTTGAGTTAAGTTAAACAAAATATAAATATATTGAAATGCAAGAATTCCGTCCAATTTTCGTCCTAAATCAATTTGTCTAGTCATCTACGAATCGGACAACCGCCAAAATATTCAATACCAATACTTACCACACATCCGCCATCTTGAATTAAATTTTATATTCGCCGCAAACAGCCTGCAAGGCTGGCCAGTTTAGACCAGACAACAATGAAAATCGTGATTATGCATGGTAAAACTTATTTTATCTTGTGAATAAAATATCTTTTACATAATTTTGCCCATAGATATGAAAGAACGGTTTAATTATGTTTAATTACACAATAAATATATTTAACAACTGTATCGCTTGTGGATAATGGGTGCCTGGGTCATCCAGGGGCTTCCACTTCCAAAGCCAGCCCCCAGACAAACATACCACTCTCATGGCTTGCAGTTCCCTGCAACCCAGCCATGAGCCCCCACACCAGGCCCAAGCACCTGTCACACTGACTGGGTCAGTGGGAAAAAAATAAATAAATAAATAAAAGTAGTAAAAAAAAAAAAATAATAACAAATAAAAAAAAAAATACGAATTTTCCGATAATAAGCACCCAAGCCTAGAAGGATTTCCGAACAATGCGTGCCTGTTGTTTGCGCATGCTCAAACACTAACAGCTGCTGACCTACTATCGCCATGCGCATGCTGGTATGCCAGAAATCACTGACCATACTATAACTAACACACTAACTGCGCTCTTTGTTCACGCAGTCACTAACTGCGCTCATCGTAACCAACATTGGAAGGGGGGAAGAATAAATTAAATTGTTAATCAATTAAACTGGATGTTTCGTTAGTTTTTCCCAGGATTGTAGTTATTTGTTTATCAAGTCGAAATCTCGAAGGTTTTAAACGTTTAATTAAAGATTTGCACAAGATTGGAATTCGGTCACGCAGGTCCACTATAGTACGATCGTACTTGTTTTTCAAATTGCACGAGAAACCATACTACTTATTAATAATATACATGAAAAACAGGCACGCATTGCATACATGTTGTGGTTAGCCTACAGGATTGGCAATTGTTACAGGCTTTCTGGCATCCTTATGTAGAAAAGTAGGATAAAAGTAGGACTAGAATTTTAGGGAAAGTAGGAATAAAGTAGAAAAATGTGTAGAAAAGTAGGACAAAAGTAGGCGTTTTTGGAGATGCAAATAACACAAATATACAAAATTGGCCCCTAGGATATATGTGGTAAGGTGGGCAGGAGTTTTCTCTCAAAACTTTTAAAATTAAGTATAATATAGACAACGAATGTTGCATCGGTATAAACGCTAAGGCATCTGCACTGTAGCAACACAATTCAAATGCGTTACGCGTGCGAATGCATGTATTTGTCTGCGCCATGCACCTTAATTCACATTTTGCGGCAGGAGCATATGATGCTTGATTAACTGGGGGGGATATTTGGAATCTGTAGGTCGTCGGGAAATGGCATTTTCAGAGCTTTCATTAATTTATTGATTATGATTCTAGAGATGCTATGAAATTTTATACTCGGAAAATGTACTTCTTTTCTTTCTGAGATCTTATCATCTGCGACACAAATAGGGAATAAAAATTACGAGTCCTATAGATCTAACTACGGGATTTTACGGGAACTAAAATCTTCAATTTTAAAAACAAACCAGAAAATATTAAACTAACTGTACGAGATTTCGCCGTAAACGGTTAAAATAGAATTTAAGACAAAATTTTAAAACTCTTTCTCGCTCAGTCCCAAGCATCGTAGGTCGCTATAGAAGCTGCCAACATTTGGATGTTCACATCTTGAGTTCAGTGCATGCTATGAAGACAGTAATACCACCATTTGATTCAGTGAAGCCCTGATCAACTAGTTCCTCGCAATAGTTTTAGTCATTATCAACATTGTAGCGATTTATTGCCTCTGGAAGGCAAGCGAGATTGCATATTATCAAATTACTCAACGGAAATATAGACTGGCCATACCTTTCGCTGAACATAACTTCGACCACGTTACAGGGGTAATTTGACCTTTAATTTAAGCCCAGGTCACACTACACAACGATAACGATACGATAACTTGTATACGCGCGCTGATTGGTCAAAACTTTATCGTTATCGTCCGACTGAAAAAAAAATTGCTCAGGTGAGCGATTTTAAAATCGTTATCGTCAAACGATAATTTTATAATTTTCGTTGTATTATGGACACTAACACAATTTTTTGCCAATTATCGCGTGTTTACAATTGATCGTATCGTTATCGTTGTGTAGTGTGACCGGGCCTTTAGAATCAGTTTCCGATCAATTAATTTGTATTTCCGGTTGAAGCTCTCGCTAAAAATTTAGATATTCTGCAATACCAAAATATAAGATGCAAATCTGTAGATACAATCTTGAAAATAATACTCTAAATAGTGTTTTGGATTGTGATTCGAACAAGACTATTACGAAAAAGATATGTTGAAAGGGGCCGAAGATATGTTCGGCAAAAAGTATGCCTTGGTAGTACATTGTTTACTTTGTTCAGGAAAATTGTGTGAAATATGGTGAAAATTATGTGAAATATCGTAAATCGCTATATAAATGTTGACATTTTACTAAAACTATCGATAGAAATTTTTTCACTAAATCGAACGGTGCTATTTTCATCGACATAGCATGCACTGAACCAAAGATAGTAATCTCCAAAGTAAATTGATCTGATTTACTTATGCGCAAACGAACCATAAACGTTAACGAACGGCTCTTTCGTATGCCTTTAACTACAAAATTTCATAAACCAACGGCTCTTTCGTATGCCTTTAACTACAATATTCCGCTCATGCGCACGCTAAGCACTGTCACACGACGACACTTTTAATAGTGCGCATGACATAGTGCGCATGACTTTTATGGTTTTCTACATAGTAGTTAGCTGCGCATGCGCAGGCTAACCATAAAAATTATGCAGTCACGTGCGTCAGCATGGAAATAATTGCATGGAAATAATTTATTCATTCATTTGAATTACACAACAACAGAATAAACAACAAATTAATACACAACTGTCACTCTGCAATATTTTAAGCCAATCAGAAAGCTTAAATAGTCAATGAAATTTTCAGTAAATTTCTTTTTTTTGTACTGTATTTAATTTTTTGGCACTGTGTTTCGAAAAAATTGCTGTGCTCTTAGCCAATCAGAATTAAGAAATTTTTTAATGTACATTATTAATGTTGAAATTCGTGCCCATAGTCAATTGAATTAATTTCTTAATTTTTATAATGCGACAAACCCTTATCATTTGCACTATGACATTATTGTTGTGCAGTAGATTCTCTTTTGTAACAATATAGTTACGGGGCTGGTAGCAGAATATTTTTATTTCAACATTCAATATATTTACATGCATTATTAAATATTTTTACATTCGGTCTTGGTATAAATATAGTTTGTATATTGAACAGCAACAATCTCTTTGCCATTTTCAGCAGTACTGTACATGCATAGTGTAATTCGTAGGTATGCATATATTCTTGTAAATATAGATACATATTGTAGATAACTTTATCTTATACTAGTTTTAGACTAGACTTGCCACAAGTCGACCTCAAACGAAACGCGAGCAGCGATCCGTATAGAATTTGTTGTATAGTTGAGATAAGAGCGCTACAAGTTTATTAGCGCTTTAGCACTATTATATAGGTACCACCCTCATTGAAATAAAGACTCTATAACTAAAATACAGTAAATTGATTTCAATAGGCTTAATGCCAAACTCGAAATGTACTTTTCCCCGAACAAAATGCGAAAAAACCCCCAAATATAAACAATGAGAAAACACTGGCGAGTGCTACATTTTTTATTCAAAGCTCCGCACATATTCAGCATTCTTCGAAAGATATATGGTAACAGTTCGTTTGATTTATTATTTTCGTCTTGGACAATCGATTGATATAATTTATAACTCAGGTATTGTCTGCGTTTTATTAATGTTATTAGGTTTAACTTAGCCAGGCTTGACCCATATGCAGAGGTAGGATTATTTTGAGACAATTTTGCGGTGAGAGAGAAGTGCCAAACCCGACATGCCTACTCTAGAATGGGGTGGACGAATGAACAATAAATATGTGTTAGATCAGTGGTTTAGACGCCTGACCGATTTAGTATTCTGATAGCGTACAGTCATTTACTCGCATTTGCACAAATGTAATTGACATGATGGTTCAAAGTCAGATCTGACAAGATAATAAGGCCAAGAAATTTACACCAAAGCACCGTTTCCACTGTATTGTTGCTGGCAGTTAGTTCAGGAAACGTTATATAGTTCTTCATTCAGAAAAGAAATTCGGAGCCATTAGTTTACCTTCTGTATTGTCTTGTTGAGTAGAAAAGCATCTATTGCAATGACACTAAAAGCTTTTTATCCAGTTTTTTGTCGCGTCGTTTTAGCAGTTTTTCAGCCATAGTTAGACTTACGGCCCCGTTTACATAAGGCCGGGACGAAGTCAAATCGGGACCATTTCGTTTCGGTCATAGTATTTAATTTTATTAATAGATGTTTACATGAGAACGGGACGAAAAGAACTCACACCAGTCTCAAGTCATTATGCCTGCTGGACCGAGCCGACTGACTTCAGATCGGCATGCATGAATCCAAACACAAAATACATTCCAGATTGTGATGAATGTAAACACAAATACATTTCAGACCGGTCTCGGCTGTAACCTATAGGCACTGAACACACGCTAACAAACCCATATAAAAAAGAAAATTGCCTGGCAAGGGGAATAAATTGAGAATTTTGTATTTTTCTTACCGCGGTCTCATGTAAACATGTTGACAACTTCAATCTCCATTCAGGTTTGACTTCGTCCCGGTCTCACGTAGCTGATCTCGAATGTACTTCGCAACTGGAATTTTTTTGGAATTTCGTTCTAACCATAAACCATCAAATAATACGATAAACATGTTATTTACCGTTTAGGTCGGTCCGTACTAAAAAATATTTTCCCTTAGCCTCATGCAGAATCGGTCTTCGGCCTCGGGCCACTTCTGAGACCACGGGAAAATCTTTTTTCAGTACGGACCTCGCAGCCGGTAAATAATAATAATAATAATATATATATACCGGGTGTCCCAAAAAAAAGTACTCCGGTTTGATTCGTAATAACTTCTAAACAATTAAAGCTTTTAAAGAGAAATAACTTGCATCAAATAGAGGAAGGACTAACTTAGATTTTGATATGTTAGAGTTGTATTTCACTTAAAAATTCACGGAGATATTAATGTTTAAAATTGGGAGCATATTTCTGGATGTGTCTGAAACATGCAAAAAACGGCGTATTAAATGTTAATCAACATTCGGCCCGACTGAAACATGCACTATTACCAGTAAATAAATGAAATTTGACAAATTGTTTATTATGAAACAAAGTATTATTATCTACAAAATACAAGCAAGATTTATTTGTCCGAAATCCGTGTGCATGTGTTCCTAGCACGAATACGTTTCTTTATTTCATGAGACCACTGCATCGCGAAGGATCGTCATGAATATCCGCGTTCGTAGTTCTGAATTAGGGCATGCTGTCACAATAGAATTGTGAAGCTCTTCTAACTTCTTCGAAGTTCTGAAATCTTGTTAAGAAAACTCAAACTCTTTTTCCTTTTCTTAATCTTGTTTATCTTGTTAAGTTCAGAATAAACTGAGAATGAAACACAATCAAACCATACAACTCCATAAGTCATAACAAGCAACTCCCCAGAGATATCCAACATTTTTGGAACAAAACGTAACAAAATAGTAGCGTCGATACTGTGATGTGTATTTGCAAAAAGCAAAATTATTTCCTTCATAATAAAAATATTATTCATCCTGCTCTAACCGAGAAATAATCAACTCTGTTTTTAACCCATGAAAAGCATAAAAAAATTAGGCTATTTAATTTAAGAAAAATTTAAGCGCCTGCCTTAGTGGTCTTTCATGTACCTTTAAGTTTGTAGGCCTATTAAATACTTGCATAATTTCGAACATTCATATTTCAGGAAACAATGACATGAGCTAAGACTTACATGCATGTTAAGATGTCTAAATCAACGCCATATCCCTTATACAAACCATAACGACAATTCGTTGAAATACAAGTTAGCCTGATATGTCATTAAACAAACAAACGCTGGAATTATATTTGATATGCCGATTTTCGCTAATTTTAGACACATCCCAAAATATGCTCCCGATTTTGAACATTAATATCTCGGTGAATTTTTAAGTAAAATACAACTGTAATATATCAAAATCTAAGTTAGGCCTTCTTATATGTAATGCAAGTTATCTCTGTTTGATAGCTTTACTTGTTTAGAAGTCATTATAAATCAAACAGGAGTACTTTTTTTTGGGACACCCGGTATATATATATATATATATATATATATATATATATATATATATATATATATATATATATATATATATATATATATATATATACACAGGGTGTATAAAAAAAAACGGAGTCCTCACATGAAGTGTGAATTTCAAAGCGAATATGAAAGTTAGACGTTTATACTTGCATTCTTTACAAATCGCGATCTTTCGGCTATTTTATATACTTTATTTTATAAAATTTGGAATTATTGCTGGCGAGTTGTGTCAATTTAAGTAAGTGCAATTGGAAAATTAAAAAACGTAGATGAGTTGAATTCACAATTTATTTAAACATTCCAAAAAAATAAGTTGGAAGTACACATTTACTCAACGTGGCCTCCATATCTAAGTTCACACAAGTTCGTTCTTTGTCTCATATCCAAGATAACTCTTCTTCTTCCCGAGTTTCCTTTATTTCGATTTAAACTTTATGGGGTGGTTCTTCCATTCAATGCATGCAGCCGGTATTTGTTGACATTACGCCAAACGCTCGATGAAGATGGAAAAGCTATTTGAAATTGTCTTATTAACACTGCAACAACGCTTTTTGTTTCGAAATACTTTTCAACAATGAATGTTCTTTCCGGAATTGTTAGCTTTGGCATTATGAATGACGATTGTAAAGTTTTAAACAACAACGTTCTGAATTTTAGCAAACTACCTTTAATTAAGGCCCCAAGGGACTTCGAAGATTAATATTTCGAAGCATCTAAAAATGAGCGCCTGTACTAAATTCTTTTTATTGCGATTAGCCTTAGTTCAAAATTTTCAAGAAACCCTTCATTCGAAAGATGAAAAAACAAGCCTTAAATTGAGCACAAAACGAAACTATATGGTAGTTTATTTTACGATAGAAATAAGGATATTTAGGACGACTCCGGTTTTTTTTTTATACACCCTGTACATGCAGTATATGACACTTTGCCGTTAGATGTTGCATTACACATACACGACCTCACGGCAGGATATTTTGATTTCAAATGTCTCAAAAACTAAGATAGTTTGGGAGAATTTGTAAAGAGGATTTGTAATTAATCTTCTCAAACTCATTAATAATTCATAAGCTTATTGGCAAATCATGTCAACCATAATACATCACGTGAAGAGGCTTTACATACCTGCTAAAATTCATCCTACAGTGTAATTAGTATTCTTGATACAAAGAATACTAATGAAACGGGTGCTCGTGATGCGCACTCGCATTTTAAATATGATAAAACACTCCTACGCGTGTTCTAAATAGTACTTAACATTCTTACAAATTAAGGAAACATAATTTTTGTTGCCATTTTCCCTTGAGGTATTATGCACCGAAATAGCGTTATTGGTGCATGTGTCCTGCATTAGTTAAAACTTTCGAACAATAATGCATGAGTAATTTTAAATACACATACCTTTGGAAACCTGGGCGAGTAGCCCATCTCGTTATGTGGTTCAACGGTAATTACACTATCATCGTGGGCGCCCTCACTGACATTAGGTTCTATCTCAATCCTCGGAGAGATTCCACCAACATAGGAAAATGGTTCATAACCCAAGTTATTTACCCACTCAGAGAAGTCTCTTTCATTCGCATTCGGCAGGCCACGAAATAATATAGCAACAGCTGTGCCATTTTTCTCAAACCTGCATTAAAAATAACAAGAACAGCAGGGCTATAAGTACTGTACAGTAACAATAAATATTGTAACGCGTCATCGGCTACACTGAGCTGTAATTAATAACTTTGTTGAAAAGGAACAGAAAAAGATGATTAATATAGAACTCTCTATATTTTATAAGGAGTACGACTACGAGTACGACATTCGTTTACTTGTAAAATAACAAGAAAAACAGGTCTGTACGTAAGTGCTCGTTACTATAATAATTGTAACGGGTTACCAGCTACGCGTTGCAATTTGCTGTGATTAACTAGAAGTTACTATCGCAAGGAAAGTGCAGCTTTTTGCCACATGAACTGAATGCAAAAGTTCATACTTCTAAACAATTCTCTAAAGGGAAGTTTAAACTTCCTTTTGACCCAATGGCCTCATTTCCACGTTTCATCATTGGTAGCATGGCAGGCCTTTGTTTCTCATTCATCATTTAAGCCCAAATCACAAACTTATTCTTAAATTGTGTGCACGGAACATGAGTAAATAACCAACACGAAAATGGGGCCATTGGGTCAAAAGTGGATAAACAGCATTAAGGTCTATTGACCCATTAGCTGGCAAACCACCTACTTTTTTAGTATTAACTCTGTCTAACGCCAGACAAATTTACACTGTGTAACACCAGACAATTTTACTTGTCAGTGGTAGAGTACTGTAAGTAAATGGGTTAACAAAGTTAACAAACCTGCCTGCCAATGTTTCTTATTAACCCATTAGCTGGCAATTCGCCTTACTTTAGTATTTACTGTCTATCAACGCCAGGCAATTTTACTCGTCAGTGGGTATAGAGTACTTCCAGTAAATTAATGTGCTAATTTCTCGTCACGCCCCAATTTAAAATTTTACAATTTACGATTTTCATTGTTTCCAATTGTAAATATCTCAGCGAGTATTTAGCCCTCTTTAATTAAAACGAAAATCACCATTAAAATCCTGACAAAATAACGTTTTCAACGGGAATTCAAATATGCCGTCAAAACATTACACAAACCAAAACAATCATATATTTACTCATTGGCCACACATTCTGTATTTCGTATCGAGAAAAAACTTGAATACCTTCTAAACTCTTCAGAATTTGCTCAAAATCAATGTGAGTAAAATACTCCTTGTAATCACAATAGCGCTTTCACGTAGAAAGGTTCGTTTGAATACGGCGAGTAGAAATATTTATTTTGAATTTTTCAAAAATATTAGGGTTTTAATTTACCCACGCCACACGCACGCGCCACGTGTATAAAAGCATGCCACTGCATCGAGTACTTTGACCTGTAGAATCGATTTCCGGTTTTTCCAGACCCCTGGGATGTAAACAGCGCTTTGTTTTGATGTATCTTTCACGGCCCGCGCTAAAAATATAAATATTCTGCAAATACCGAAAAAAAAGATGATAATCTGAAGACACAAGCTTAAAAATAACACTCTAAATAGTGATTCGGATTCTGGTTCCAATAACTATTACGAAAACGATATGTCCAAAGGGGATAAGTTCTGCGAAAGGTATGATAAGTTCTGCGAAAGGTATGGCTAGTTTACATTGTTGGTTATATAATGAACAAGACGCCTGCTCATAGACTTGGATAAAGTCCATCTCTCTAGAGTCCTTGTCGCGAAGCGACGAAATCGAGCACGCCGGCGCGCGAGGTGCAAGAAAGGAGGGAGAAAGGGACTTGGCTCACCTGCAATGTTTCGAATCAGATTTATCATATTGCCGGGAATTATGTTAATAGTGAATAGTAAATATGTTAATAAAAAATCGGGGTCCAAATGTGTATTTTAACATAAAAATTTTCCAAAAGCTGTTTTTAGCGATAATTCGGACCCTCACTGCCTGACAGTCATTCGAAACTAAATTTAAAGGGCTCTAATTGTAAAATGCAGGCTACAACCCTCCATAATAATGTTTCCAGACACAACTTCCCCGCATTTGAAGAATTTTGCTGTCATGGAATCAGACCTACCGGCAAATGACACAAGTCAAACTTGCAGCCCTGGGATTAGTAGTGCAGTGCTCGCAACACTGAGCTCTATACTGAGTCCAGTTGCCAAGCGCTAACACAAGTTCATGTACATGTGATGGGGTTTTTGTAGATGGAATATTCGAAATGAAATTTACATTACCGGTAATACATTTTTGACCCAATCAGGACTAGTTGCCAAAAATATAGGCCCTCTGGCAGGAATCAAACCTGTGGCCCTGCAATGGACCATTTGCGTAATAGACTAAATTTTTATCTAAACAAGTCTAGACAAACATTTCATCACAGCTTGAAAGAGCATCACAAAATTAGTAATATTCCAAAGTTTCGTTGTGAAATGTTGTAAAATGCGGATAATATAGCCTTGCGAACTTTGCAATTTTCAGTCATTTTAGATTACAAACGGGAAATTGACAGCCCCAAGGGGTATTGAAAGTGTTAAACACCTTTGATGGCCGGGCACCTGACAGTTTTTTAATACTATGAGTTTGCCACCAGTCATTCCTAATTGAGGACTAGCATATAGAAGTTTGTTGAAGGATTATGTGCATTTTAGTGTATTAATGAATTGTGTAGTTGTTGACTGAGTGTTTACTTTTGATTGAGGCCACGGTCAAACGGCAAACTTTTCATGTGCCAAACCTAATGCAAATGAACTTAGCTCATTGACATTAGGTTCAGCACATGAAAAGTTCGATGGTTGATCCTGGTCTAAGTCTCCTGTTGTAATATATTGTAATTGGTAACAGTGAGAGGAATGGAAACTTATATAATACTTATGGTACCAGTAACCACTTTCCTGAAGTGGGATACTGGATTCTCAGGGGCGATACTAAACTTTGCATCCTTGTATATCCCAGTTGGATACTGAGAAAGAAATATAAATTTCAGCTGTTCCTCAGGCAAAATTGAAATTACTTCACATTAGTCTTCTTCGCTTGTTACTAGCTACAGCATCGTGGAAATACGGGGAGAAGGGGGGGGGAGCAGGTGTCCGGCTGACAGAAATTAGTTTAGAAATTGAACTTCGTAGTTTAATTTGAGAGCCATAACAAAAATATAGTTTTTAAATTATATTTTTGTTATGGCTCTTTTACGTATTTTTTGCTGGGCATTAATATTTATCTTAAGATTACGATTTCCGCCTGGTTCATGAGTTCATCTATCGCAAACTTGTAATTGATTTCAAACCAAATTGCACAACACAAAGTTCAATTCCCAGTACAAATAGTCTTGTGACGGTACTGTAACAGCTACAGTCAAGCGTGCTAATGCGCTGATCAATTTACACAGTTAACACTTCCGGCATACCCCGGGCATTTGACATCTTGCTCTATCCCCAGAGTGGGAAATTTGACCTTTTGAACTGCTGTTAGGGTAGGGTATTTGATGCTGAGTCACAAGACATGGCGCATTTGACCATTTATTGTCGATTTAAGTCACTTTTCAACGCGTGGTTCCCAACTTGCCAATTGTGAACTTGCCAATTGTGCTTCCAAGTTCGGAAATTAGGTGTGAACTTCGCAACAAAGTTTGCAAGTTCATTTCAATATTTGAACTTTGTTTGTAAACAAATGTTCATACTCAATAATAATAACCAATTCAATGAAATGCAAACCTTCTTGGTAGCCCACTGGACCAAGAACATTCCATTGAATTGTTAATTTCAACTTGAACTATGGACATTTGTTTACAATAGTTCAAACATTGAAATGTACTTGCAAACTTTGTTGCAAAGTTCACACCCAATTTTTGAACTTGGAAACGTAATTGGCAAGTTTGCAACAAACTTGGGAACCGCACGTTGAAAAGTGACTTGAAATCGACAATCCAGTCTGGAAAGTTTGCAACACGCTACCGAGATCTCGGGCAGTTTTGATGTCCCAATGTATTTACTATTAATGAAGTTGAATATGTTGGAAAAGAGACAGATATTTAAAATCGAACAACTGGCAACTAAGCAAGACAACAATAACTTGGAACACATTTTTGTGGCATATATTTTGGGCAGAGAAGTGCTCGAAAACAGTTCCGGCCGAACTGTCTAGAGGCTCTCGCTAACCTAAGTTTTATCTAGAGAAACAGGCGAATCTCTAGACTGCAGAGGGCATGCTTGACTCTGTGCATGTCGTTCAGCGAGCTGAGACCTAGTTGGACTGGTGAACAACTATTGGTATAGGGCACATTACCCAGGGTACTCAAAGCTGGCTGAGGATACACGCAAAAACTGTAGGTTGTTCTAGAGGAACAGGCGGACCTCTAGATAACAGGGGAACAGGCGAACCCCCGTTCAGATCCGTCAGGCCGTCGACATTGAGATCTAGTTGGACTGGTGAACAACTATTGGTATAGGGTACATTACCCCGAGCCGCAACTGATAACCTGACTGACCACATCGAGTCTCTAGGACTGCTCATTCAGGTCTTCAGTGCGACCTGAATGAGCAGTGATTGCGCTTCACGTGGTGAAGTGTTGTCCATCGGACAGCACTTCCCTGCCAGTATATAATAAATTATTTATTGCATTTCTTCACATAAGTAGGTTACAAATCTATGTGTAACGTGCTAACTATATACAGGAATATTCATTTTTCTAATTAACTGTCCTTACAAAACGCCATATTGTAGAGACGCAGATCGGTGTACATGATTTTTGGGAGGTGGGTGGGTTTTTTATATTTCCACTTCTTTGCCAAGGTTTGGTCCCTTAAATTATTAGCCAAAAATTTTGCCAGAGATGTTAACGCACTGGCTAAAGTCTTGCGAATGAGCAGTGCACATCGACATTGTGATCAAAAGTCCTTGCGCAAAGAGGGGGCCATTGTACGTATGCACGTGAAGGAAAAAACCTTCAGGATAATTTCTGATTGGTTAATCCCAAGTTTGCATCAGTTGTTCACATGCTTAGCAGCCAAAGTTCGATATTTATCAGATATTTTGTAATATTAACAGGGCTAGAAAACGGTTCCCTTGTTCTGCCAAGGTACTTGGACCTTGTACATACCTGGTACGGATTAATTGTTGTGACGCAGATGCGTTGGCAGACTAAAACACCCTCGGGCAGATAGAGCCTTCAGAACATATTACTCAATTTATAGCTTTGCTTCCTGTAAATTGATTATTTAAATTTTCGTAATCTCGGACGCGCAATTTTCAAACTTTCCAGTCTGGTCAACAATAATACACCAGATTGTACGAGGTCTGACACTATTAATTAAAAAAACTTTTTTAAAAAACAAAATTCAAAATGGAGTATACTTTAAATACTTTTTGGAAACTTTATAAAGCATGAGGTGTAAGTTGTTTAATACAGAGTCTCATTTATCAAACTGTTGAAGTTACCTTCAGAATTCAGTGTATGTTTTCACACAATTCCAAACTTGAACTGATAGAATTAGTCAGAATGATCAGGGGGGTTGGCCAGGGTGCATTCCGTGCACAAAAGTTCAGAGATCTCCGGGGTGGAGATGTACTAGTCTTGGCGTAATGGCGTACAGATCGCTAAGATGTAGGCGTGTTGGCATATTTCTGTATTTATTTGAAAATTATTAAATTGTATGCCTATTAAAATATTAAATTAAATACGAATCTCAATCATGAAAGTGGTTTGTACTTCCTAAAACTGAAATGTAGACATTCTTCCATTGTCAATGCTTAAAATAGTTATCAAAAAACAAAACAAGCATTCTTATCTATCTGGTATGCACATAATGCGCTAGTTAGCCAGCGTGGCCGGCTCTTCTATGGGGCTGAGAATTGAAGAAGAGCCTGCCCGGAAGCCCTAGTAAAATTGATCATGCCTACTGTACTTAATTATTATTCCATATTAACACCGCCCACTTGAAATAGTTTTGTACAAATGATGTCATAAAATGTCAATTGCTGCATATTTACTAGCCAGCGCTACATATGTTTACTGTAATATTATAAGTACGGTAGCACAGCCATACAGTTGCAAAGCAATAATATAATTTTGAACAGTCTCTGTTTACTAATTTGAATAATTCCAGACAAAGTGGAAAGGACTTAGGCTTCGCTAAAAATGCTGACCGGCGTTTTGCTTGTACTTTCCAGGCAGTTGAATCGCTATCCATCTATTAAAAAGTTTATTGAAAGCAATAATATGTTTATACTATACTCAGTGGTAATGTAACAAATGACTTAGGAATAAAAGGTAAATAGACCTCTTCCCGTGTTATACACGTTGGCAGGCAAATAAATGTATTTTAAAAGCTCCAAAGACAGCTTCATATTATTATGATATGCATTGTAGAAACACAATGGGGAATCAGTGTGCAAAATGTATTAAACAAGGCAAGGACAGCCAAGGTTCTTGAAGTCATATGACATAGCTATTCAGCTGCCTCGTCCCCAGGCGCTAATAAAAAAATTTCATGCGAGTTACTATATGAAAGGTTTACATGAAGTAGTGCATCGCAACGAACAAGCGCAGGGAGTTATGGGCTTGAGGCATCGAAAATTGAGGAGCGCCTGGGAGATCTTGTGCCGTTTCTTGCAAAATTCGTCTGTTTCTTGCAAATTGTGGTTTTTCGACAGTTTGGGGGTTTTATTCGCCATTTTTTTGAGGAAACAACATTTCAAATTGTTCAATTAAACATGTGATTACAGTCAGATGATATTTGATATCATTTAACGCTTTAAATTATTCCAAGATGTCAACACTTGAAGAGTTCAACGAGGCTATAGAAGCCGGTTTATGTGTGCACTCCAGGATGGCGTCATATGATGGCGTATTTTCACGTCAGCACTCGTAAAATTTCGGACAAAATATCGTCTGAGTGACACTTCTGGTCCTGTATCTATTCTGTGATTTTGTTTAGTCAGTGCTTCCACATCCAAAGTTAAATTTCCCTAACATTGCCTCAAATTTCAATTTTCCGCAAACTTTTTCCTCTAAGTGGAAACACTTACAAGCATGATCCAATAAAAAAGTTTAGGGTCGGGATTTCGACGTCCAAAAGCTAGGTAGGGTCGGGAAACCGGAAACCCACATATTTTTTTTTTGCCCAATCACAATTCTCAGCAGCTGGCTGCTGAGAGTGATCAATTTTACTAGGGCTTCCGGGCAGGCTCTTCTTCAATTCTCAACCCTAGAAGAGCCGGCCACGCTGGCTAATAATGCACTTGTTTTCAATTGTCGACTAAATATGTGTGTCAGCCATATTGGATAATTGGCAAGCTTTTATTTTCGTTACTTCAAATTTGTTGGTGTAAAAAAATAATATACTTTGAAACCTTCGGCCTGGCAATTGCATGGAATGCACCCTGGGGAGTTGGGGCATTTGACCATCAATTTTCCGTTATATGTGGGGCATTTGAACAGAATTTTTGTCCTGGCGGTTGGAAATTTGATCACAAAATTTCAAAAAGTTCAAATGCCCAGAGGTATGCCCGGGGAAGGGGGGATGATAACAGTATAATTGATTGGCGCATAAGCCATTCAAAAATTTAGCATGTGGTGGAATATAATTTGGCAAGCAAACGTTGCGCATTTTGGGTGCAAAATCAAAACAATGTTTACCCGTCTATACAATCGCCCAGGTATTAATCATCAGTATATATTACACAAGTCGCTGTAAAGGTATTTCTTTTACGTCTTGAAGGCTACAGTCTGATAGCAGAAAACTCGCGAATAAAAATATTTGTTTACGAAGCTAGCCTAGCTGTGACGCATTGCTGACATACCTTTGATATGCTTGATCAATAATCTCTCGAGATCTTAAAGCCCAGTGTTTCATACTAGTCTCTTGCCCTTTCCTCGCTTTAACCAGCATTGGGAAATCATCTTTCGGGCCTGACAGATACTTTGGAAAGCCAGGTGAGTTTGAACTGACCAAATGTTTTCGTCCAGCCAAGGGTACTGCGGTCTGAAGCTCGATTTCATTCAGAATTCCGCGACTAAAATATTCACCCATATGCAAAAATCTTGAAGATATACGCTTGAATATTATACTCGAAGCGACTGTGGTCATATTTTGCATATTGACTAACCGTGCTGCCATCGGCAATGTCTATTTATAAAACTTCCAATGCCAATGTATATAAAAAACTTCCAATGCAAAAATACAGTATGTATATGTATAAGGGGCGGACCATTTGACTTTT